ATACGTGGTAAAATTTTGGTCGCATTTGCACCAACCCCTTGGACGCTACGCGCTGTCAAAGAACAACCCCTTACTGTTTTTTCATCTTTTCCACAGTTAAAAACCAATTTTGGACCTGCAATTCACGGAAAAACTTGTTTTCGTCACGACAGTATCGTGTTTGTTGATGGTTGGGCCCTAGCGTGAAACCAACCCCCGTTGTGGAGGTTGGTACCCCCAACCCTTTCAATCCGGCCCCGGGGGTGGGTGCGTAAATTGAGTGCATGCTATCGATTGAGGGACCATTGAAGCATTTCTGTACAAATTTTCAAGTCGATTGCTTGAACCGTTTTCGCGGGATAAACAAAAAAGTGGAAATTTTGCGATTTACAACCCCCAAGTTCACCTCACAATCCCTACTGATTGGAGGGGGTTGGCGTGCCGCGGATCGGCTTCTCATGAAGCTTGAACCCTCCTTTTCTCGGTCCCAGAAGATGGAATTGCTCACACGACATGCACAGCCTCCAGCGATGCCGCCAAAATACCCTGTCATCGTCGTGTCGGCCAAAGCGAGCACCGCGGCCTCCAAGCGGCGAGTATGTGAACCAAAAGCGATCCGAACGATATGGACTTTCAGCCACCCAAAAAGACTCAACGAAAAATCACAGATTTCACACGCCAACAATTAACAGACAATTTTTTAAACTCGTTTCTTTCACATTTCCAGCAGTCTTACTGATTTCTTTTTCAAAGCAAAAGCCAAAAGCAAAATTGTAACAAAAAAATTGGCAATTCTCAACGCAGGAAAAAAATGAAATCAAAAATGGCGAGAAAAAATTAAATTTTAATAAAATAAAAACAATACAATGTATAAACAATAAAATTAATGAACAATAGAATTAATGAACAATCAAATCCACTCAGATCATTTCGCACAGCGATGCCCAGGAACCAAGTTTAAGTCGTGGAGGATTCCGCTGTCGGGATTCCGGGGCCTGACATGCCGCCCTGCTACCGTCCCGCTGCCGTGCCGTTAAGAGGGCCCATTGGGGCCAAACGTTTATTAATTTTATTATTCATTAATTTTATTGTTTATACATTGTATTGTTTTTATTTTATTAAAATTTAATTTTTTCTCGCCATTTTTGATTTCATTTTTTTCCTGCGTTGAGAATTGCCAATTTTTTTGTTACAATTTTGCTTTTGGCTTTTGCTTTGAAAAAGAAATCAGTAAGACTGCTGGAAATGTGAAAGAAACGAGTTTAAAAAATTGTCTGTTAATTGTTGGCGTGTGAAATCTGTGATTTTTCGTTGAGTCTTTTTGGGTGGCTGAAAGTCCATATCGTTCGGATCGCTTTTGGTTCACATACTCGCCGCTTGGAGGCCGCGGTGCTCGCTTTGGCAGACACGACGATGACAGGGTATTTTGGCGGCATCGCTGGTGGCTGTGCATGTCGTGTGAGCAATTCCATCTTCTGGGACCGAGAAAAGGAGGGTTCAAGCTTCATGAGAAGCCGATCCGCGGCACGCCAACCCCCTCCAATCAGTAGGGATTGTGAGGTGAACTTGGGGGTTGTAAATCGCAAAATTTCCACTTTTTTGTTTATCCCGCGAAAACGGTTCAAGCAATCGACTTGAAAATTTGTACAGAAATGCTTCAATGGTCCCTCAATCGATAGCATGCACTCAATTTACGCACCCACCCCCGGGGCCGGATTGAAAGGGTTGGGGGTACCAACCTCCACAACGGGGGTTGGTTTCACGCTAGGGCCCAACCATCAACAAACACGATACTGTCGTGACGAAAACAAGTTTTTCCGTGAATTGCAGGTCCAAAATTGGTTTTTAACTGTGGAAAAGATGAAAAAACAGTAAGGGGTTGTTCTTTGACAGCGCGTAGCGTCCAAGGGGTTGGTGCAAATGCGACCAAAATTTTACCACGTGTAACAGGGATCGAGACGAAGCTCCGGCAAAAGTTTCAGCGAAATCGAAATAACCACCCTTTTGGAAAGGGTAGAAAATTATGGAGGGGGTTGGGGGTGTTGGAGGGGGTTGAGCTGGGCATTTTCGGAAAGGCCGTAACATAAAGAGCCTCATCCTTGACAAAAATTTTGGATTTTTTCTTTTTTTCGGTCGAATTTAGAACCTTTTTTGTCACTTTCTTGACTCTGTAGTATTCAAGGGGTCGCCGATCCCGGAAGGGGTGGCAGGTAGCAATGGCACTCGTGGAGTATTGAGACAACCCATGGGCCCACCTATCCTCAAAATTTCAAAGTCCTACCTCCTACACAGTGGAAATGACGACGGTGTAAAAAAAGTGGTGCGTTAATTTTGGCCACCAGTGTATAAACAAATGGCACAAAAAATTAATTGTTCGTCTGGCATCAACAAAATTAGCATCGATGCTATTAATAATTCCATGAAAGCAGGAAATTGTTTATGAATAATCGTTTATGCGTTTTCATTTGTGTTGTTTATCCGTGTTTATTATATTAGGCAATTATAAGGGTGTTTCTGTCCATTATTTAACTGGCTTTTGTAAGGGTTTCATACTAAATGTTTAGACTGTCCCGACGCATAGGAGCTTGATCACTGAGCTATAAGGTTCGCAGCTGTCACTCTTGATTCTGGACGCACATCATCATCGCGCTCCGATTGGTCCGTGTCGCACATCATCATCGCGCTCTGATTGGTCCGTGCTTTTCCTTAATAATAAAAAATGAAGCTTCAAACTCTAGTTTTGCAAAGGAAAATCTTGTTTAGAATGACATCCTCTACCTCCCTTTTTAGGGAGTAACACTAGTTATGCGACACCCCGTTTAGAATGACATCCTCTACCTCCTTTTTTAGGTAGTAACACTAGTTGTGTGACACCCTATATAATATAATATACAGTTTATGAAATGCGGTGGCGAATGCTTTTAATGAATTTGGTAAAGTAGCTTTAGCTTTTGATCTATATAATAGTCTTGAAAAGTGCCCAAAACTTTTGGAAGCACAGTATTCTACAATACAAAAAAATGGACAAATATTTCATAAAAAGAAAGTTAATGTAATAAATAAATCAATAATATTTAGCTCATGTGATGTTTTTACACGAGCAAAGCAAGTGAGAAAAACGTAATGAAGTAAAAATCTTTTTACTCGCCCGTTTCGAACTATATTTTATATCACAAGAGCCGAATAATTATATTGTAGTTATGTTTTTGAAGTTAGAGTGGTATAAACATAATTTAAATAATAGTTTATTTTATTTCGAAATGCAAACATTTTCCTCTATTGCAACCATAGTAAAATATTATTTTTGAAAAATATTTTTGTACAAAAGGGCTTATACAATGTAAACACTGACAAAATATCATCTTTTTAAACATTTATGTTGTAGCATAGTATAGCTCAGTTTTTGTAGGATGAAAAAATACATTCATGAGATATGTAAAAGAGGGGATAGTAGTTTTTCAATTAACACATGAATTACATTGTCGTATACAGCACAATACATATAGCATAATGTGCGACAAATTATAAAGAATTCATGAAACATAACAATTTTTCAGTATTTTTAAATTTGTTTTGGGTTCAAGAAAATGGGGTACCCTCTGATTCAACTGATTTATATATCAAAAGAAAGCCCTTGACTTGGCGATTTCAACGATGGTCATCCCACCCCTTAACTCCCACCCTTTAACTCCCACCCCTCTGCCCCCTAGAAGCCAAAAACTGAAACGGTCCAAAAAGTGATTTTTCCACATATCTCAGCGAGTTTATCATTTCCATCCCTTTTTTTTTATAATCTCTGTTACTTTGACAAAGGCTTTTCACCTCTTCCTTACTTTCTCTTAATATCTTCTTTAACATATATTTACATGAATAATCTCAATAGAATCCAAATTGATACTAGTTAGAAAAATATTTGTGCACATTTTTCTTTTGTACTTATTGTTACTGTTAAAGAGGAATTAAATGAACATCAATTAGAATAACTCATATGAAATATAATAATGAATATAAAATCTAGTTTAGTATTTTCATTTATTAGTATTATCGATTATACTGTTGTCATTACAAACTGAAAGATTATATTTATTCTCAGAAATCAAATGGAATTTTGTTTTATTTGATTAACTGAGAAATTTTTATTACTATACAGCGATAAATTAAAAGTATATTTAAAGAAAAAATTGATCAAAATAATACATTTATTTTTAAACCACACGATACTTCATTTTTATAACTAGTATTTAAACAGAAATTTGTAATCATTTTTCACTATTACTTTCTGTTTAATTGTTTTCAAATGACTTACAATAATTTAAATTTATTTTTCCATTTTGGGGGTTTAATACAGTACTTCTCTCAAAATCTGTTACAACAGCTATTGATTGCTCACTTTCAATTAATTGTTTGTAAATTCACTCTTAATAATTAAATTGTTTTCTAATAATATATTTGACAATGAAGTATTAGTCAGATCCTTTGCATAGTAAAAATACTTGCTTCCAAAGCATAAGTCACATGTATATGTGTACTTTTTTAACTCAACTATCAGCTTTAATAATGCTATAGTTCACTTTGTTCTTACATTTTCATCTGCAGGAACTTTGTCAAAAATTAAAGTAATACATATTACTTTGTCGTAGAAAAATATTGTAGATAGTACATAAGAAAAATTATACAATACGATATGTGACACGTTTTTAGCATTTTGCAATCTTGTTTGTTCTTAACAATAAAACAATTATTTATATACATTATTATTTCGAAGTGTTTACAAAAGCTTTATTCACTTCCGCAATGGGAGCCAATGAGCTCGAGTATCCATTTCCAATCAATCGTATCCGTTCTAGAGCGAGATAGCATATTTGACTACACATTTCGTAAAGGCGTTTTACCTGCAGGAGTATATTCAAAGTTATTACAGTTGCGACAACAGCGATATCTGGCGGAGCATAAACTTGCCAATAGAATTGCGGTTCTAGGTGTCCTGTAGCTCATCCATAATTATACAGTCACCGATTCGCATTTGAAATCGACGTTCGACCAACTGACCACATTTCAACGAAGTATTTCTTTCTACGCTTTTGTTATACATTTATACATAGATATATATTATTGGTAAAGCCATTTCTTGATTTCTATAATAACAGACTTGCAACAAAAATGTTTTTTGTTTTTTAACATTAACAAATTTAATTTTCAGTGAGTCAACTTCATGATGAAGATGAACTGTTTCTGTGGAGGGAAAAACGCACATTTGGTCGGAAAATATGATGCTATTGTGAATCAATTTATTGAAGTAAGTATAATTATATGTTAATTTTAATGAATTAAAATTTTAATTAAAACATTTCCAAAAATCGTCCGTTAACACATTGCGACAAATGATACATCGTTCGATTTTTTTTTGTCGTGTACATTACTAACCGGCATGTCATAAGTCGTGAAAGCTTTTTATTTTTTAAACTGACTACAATTTTTAAAACAAAGTAATATTGAGTTAGTTTTGTCGTATCCATGAATGGAGATTTAAATGAAGAAAATGCAGTGAAATATTCATTTTAATATTAAATAATACTATATGAAATATTTGAACCTTAAATATTTCTGTTAGGAGTTCAAATAATAATTCAGCATTTTCTTTATTCAAGTTTTAAGCAATATAAATTAAATTGCCAATCAAACTATCTTCCTTACTAGAAGTACGAAACAATACTATATTTTGTATTAAATATAATAAGTGAATAAATGTGATTAAAATGACAAGCAATAACCAACATGGTCTGACTAAAAGTGCTTACTGTATTGCCATGCACATTTTATTGTATTTATATGTATAACAGTCTCACGACTATTAAAATTCATATCGTGATTTACTTACAAGATCTTGTAACCCTTCTTTTCTAATACATAGTAAGTAATCCGGCTATTGAATATTTTAATAATGTTTCAGTATTTTTACTTTCAACTGTGACAAAAAATATATTTTCTCACCTTTTTTAAATTGTGCTAAATGTCTATTGGTCTTTAACTAAATGTTCCTTACGATATTTCTTACAAATATTGACGTATCCATTTCAATAATTTTATCAATTCTGTAAGCTATTTTACAAGAAATGCATAGTCAATTAGTCATTAATACTTTTGTAATATTGAAATGAAATTTTGTTTTATCATAGCTTCTAATAATCTGATGTTGTTCATAACTATATACTTAATAACATAAGATAGTCTGCCTATCTTTTACTGATTTTTTCATGTTGCGCACCTTCCTTTTATTAACATTTAAAGTGTTGGGAGTATACATAAGTTTTTATTGAAGAAAATGGAAAGAGAACATATTTTATATATATATATTTAACATTTATGTAATAAAATTACTACATAAAATTAGTACTTTGTTGTGTAATTTTTTCAATCTATAACTGCTTTTGAGAACCATGGTACCAATTTTATTGTTTTTTTATTTATTTATCGCACAATATTTTCCCATATGTTTAAATTATACCTTTTGCATCTACAGTATTTATCATTTTATCATTTTTCAATTTAATTTTAATTTTTATCTTCAAATCAGATTTATATACAGCAATTTTGAAGGCGTGTTTTTAACAGTAATTATGATATTTGTTGTTAATAGATACACAGTATTTATAATTTTTCCACAGAAATTAAAACCTTTTTTTATGGAATGTTAAAGCACATTTTGCCCACAGTAGATTCAATAAATGTTATTCTTTCAATTTTACTTACAGTTGTATATCAATATAAAACTAACTGGCACATTTAATTCTGACCCTTGTTTTAGTTTTTTTAAATTCCAAATTTAATTTCCACTAAATGATTTCAATCTCACTAGGACCAAGAATATTAATTTTTATTTATCCACTAAATATAACATTAATTCAGGAAATAATTATTTTTAAGTATGTATTTAAATCCCTCTGTTTGAACTGATGTATAATTACTATTTTTATCAAATACAAATTAAAATAGTAATAACATTTTATGTGTTAGAATAAAAAAAGAGAAATCATGCAATAACCAAAGCAATAAGTTTTTGTATTATCAAATCACTATGAATGTTTGTTTTGTATTCTTATTACACAAGATTGTTTTCATATAGAGTTGAATTTTTCCACTATTCTAAGGTTGCTACTTAAATTTGTCTTTAAAACCAGCCTGGTTGTACATAAAAAGATAAATAGTCGCAAATATATTGCATTAATTAATTATTATTGTTAGTTTTTGTATTTTTGTATCGTTAGCCGAGTAATGTTCTTAGACGTCATAAGATATTCTGTATCAAGACTTCTATGACAGTGATAGTAGTTCGAGAGAATTGTGATTAAATTAAAAGCGTGCGGATTTTTTTCTTTCCTTTTTAGAATGGCCAGAATACTTTTAACTCCTCTCTTAATTGATTAACTGCAGGAATAAACTTCTTTGCATCTGCTAAGACTAATTTATTAGTGTGTGCAAAAGTGACAGGTTCTCCAGTCAGAAATTGATGCATAGCTACAATACCTGTCATGGCTGATTCATGCATGAGTGTCAGTGCCGTGCCTATTTCTGGATATTTGTCTTGGTTCTCATAGGTAAAATAGAATAAAGTGGCCTTTAGATTTGGTAACAAATTTAGACATGATGCATATTTGTCCAGAAACCCTTGTGATATCAACAACTCACCCTCTTTTGCATTCATGGATGCGTAGACTGTTGAGATCCTGTTTGACAAGTACTGTGTTTTTTGTCGATTTGATATATCTCGATCACTATTAAAGGTTTTTAACATAGAAATTAAAAGTATATGGCAAGTAGCCCTGATATCATGTGCATCCGTTTTTGTCACTCTTGGTATTGGTGCCAGCCGGAACTTTGTCAGATCGATATCGTTAGTCTTGGTGATTGACCTATCGAGATTTTCATTGTATTGTTCCAGATAAGGTGTAAACTGATCACCATATACCAAAAACAGAGAAAGCCAGGCTAGTAGCTCATCTGCTTCACCTTCGACTCTCAATTTCTCTTTACAAATGTTCTCAAACATAGCGTAGGCCATCCCAATATGAAATAATATTGTCCTCTCATAGGCAGGCTTGAAAATAGCTGGGGTGAATTTGTTAGGTAAGGCTTTTTTTTTTTTAAAGGCGGGGGAAATACATTTACGTACGGAGTGTGGGACTCATGCGAGAGAGAGAACCGCATACTACCCACTAAAACCCCCACCGGGGGATTTATTCCCTCCATTAAAACAAATAATAATATATACAATAATATACAATAATATATACAATATCTACAAAGTTGGCCCCGAATGGGGCCGATTGTTACAAATACGGCTCGATATAACCGCCATTTGCCCTAATGGCCGCTCGAGCCCGAATGACGATATTGTCACTTACTCTGCGCAGTGTGCCGGGAGTTATGCTGGAAACTGCCCCTTGGATGCGATTCACCAAGTCTTCCCGAGAGGTGATCGGTTCTCGATACACCTCATTCTGAAAAATTTATGACATTTAGTTATACTGAAAATACTATGAAATCAATTTTTTTTTCTGAAGAAAATTTTATATCTTGCCTTCAGAAATCCCCAGAAGAAAAAATCCAACGGGTTCATGTCGGGTGACCTGGGGGGCCACGCGACAGGGCCATGACCTTGACTTTGCCAAGAGAACAAACTGTTTTAAAAATTTGTTTTACTAATATCTATTGTGCACTTCATACCCTGCTAATATTGTCCTAAACATTTTTTCGTAAGGTGGCTGCAAGTGGGAGAAAAATCGTGAGTAGCGTTACAGGTAACACCCTATATACAACAGAAATATATAATACTTGAGTTTGAAACATATGTCATAGTTGGCCCCGAAAGGGTCCGATTATTATAGGTACGGCTCTATGTGGCCTCCATTAGCCCCAATGGCCGCTCGAGCGCGTACAAGAATATTGTCACTTATTCAACGCAGTGTGGCGGGAGTATGGTCGCAACTGCCTCGCGGATCCGATCCACCAGGTCATCCCGAGAGGTAATCGGTTGTCGATACACCTCATTCTGAAAAATATATGACATTTAATTTTACTGAAAATACTATGAAATTAATTATTTCCTTAAGAAAATTTTGTATCTTACCTTCAAGAATCCTCAGAAGAAAAAATTCTGCGGGTTCATGTCGGGTGACCTGGGGGGCTACGCGACAGGGCCGCGCGCGATCCACCTGTCCTAAAAAGTGTGATCTAGGAAAGCCCGAACACTTGCGGCATAATGGGCTGGAGCACCATCATGTTGGAAAAATATGTTCTATCGAATCTCTAGTGGAATTTCTTCCAAAAGATTCGACAGAAGATGCTCGAAGAACATTTTATATGTTCATCCGTCCAATCTGTCGGGCAGAATGTACGGACCAACAATAAAGTCCCCACAAATGCCGGCCCAAAGATTCACGGACCAGCGCGTTTGCATTGCCCGTGGACGGATCGCATGCGGATTTTCATCATTCCACAAATGCGAATTGTTGGCATTAAAGCAGCCTTCTCTGGTGAAAAGGGCTTAATCTGTCCACAAAACGTATTTGCAGAAAGATGGATTCCGCTCGATCTTTCCCACAAGCCACCTAGCATAGTGAATCCGTTGAATGTAATCTCCTGGGTTTAAATGCTGCACCTGTACATATTTGTACGGGTGCATCATATTTTCCTGTAGAATGCGATGAACCGAGGTCCTGCTGACCCTAAAATAAAACACAAAAATACATTATTAAAAAATAAATTATAGCGATAGTATAAAAAAAAATAAAAAAATAATAGATAAATACAGTACAGTATTCTCTCTGTAAATACAATTGCCGGTCTCGATTGTAACATTTATGGAATAGGTACTACTCACTACATTCTTTGTAGTGAGCCGAACATAGAAAAAGACAGCAACACAAAGACAAAGAGGGACTGAGGTTCGACAAACATGAAAGACTCGTGCGTGTTCTGTCTTTTAAATTCACAAATCAAAATTCCTTATTTTTGGTTTTTCGTGAATGAAACTTCGATTATCGTATTCGTCTTATTTTTCTGGCTAAAATGGTACCAAACACGGTACATTTAAAATCATAATTACTTGTATAGCAAGCCGTTAGGAGGAATTCGTATCTCTGTCGTTAATGTCAAATGTAATAGTTTGCTGTAAGTGTGAAAGCCCGAAATTTTTATGGTTTGTTACATAAGTAATTACGATCGTAATCATATCGTGTTTGGTGTTATTTTAATAAGAAAAACGAAACAAATACGATGGTAAAAGTTCCATTGACGAAAAACCGAAAATAAAGAATTTTGATTTTTGAATTTAAAAGACAGAACACGTACGAGTCTTTCGTGTTTGCCGAACGCATCAACCTTCTGCCTCTCTTTCTTTTCCATTCGCCTTCCTCTTTTATGTTAAAAACTTTAACCACTCGTTACACACGCAATGGTTAACGTAATTTTATCATGTTTGGTGTCATTTAAATCAGGAAAACTAGATAAATACGACAGTAAAAGTTTCATGGAAGAATAGTACGAAATAAGAAAGTTGCAATCTTTTCCTTTCCTTGTATTAGTGTGTGTCTCATTGATATTCGATCCTTCTCATTTCGGCGACTGATCCTTCTCGTTTCGGCGACTGATCGTGTTTCATTTTTGATTGATTTCGAGGGGGATCCCCCTAGTAGTGGAGATCGAATTTTAACATTTACGTTAGAGAGCTTTTTTTACATTTACGGAGAAAATATTGTAAGATGTTAACATCTATTGTAAATAATCAATTTAACTTACCCCAATCGGTGACTGGCATCTCGTACGCTGAGAGTCCCATCCCGGTCAAATTCTTCGAGCACTTCATCCGCTCGTGCCGTGGAGATCAGACACGAGCGACCTGCACCTTCTCGTACAGGCTGCAATGAGCCACTCGTGTATAACCGTGCGGCTAATCGTCGAAACGTATTAGCCGACGGTAAATTTCGACCGGGATGTTGCTCTGCATATCGCCGGGCAGCTTCTTCCGCATTCCCGTCACACTGCGCGTACGCAAAAAACATTTCGTAATATTGCGCGTTAGAATACATCTTTACCGTTTTTGTAAAGATCTAATTAATTTATTTATATATGTTGCCATACCAATGCATCTTTTGTTTTTGTCGCATGCTTGTAGGTGGGAGAGGGAGGTATGCTGCTTGCCAAAAAGACACTGCGTGTTTATTTGCATATGTTGCCATACCAATGCATCTTTTGTTTTTGTTGCACGCTTGTAGGTGGGAGAGGGAGGTGTAGCATGCTTGCCAAAAAGGCATGAATATAGTTACAAATTACGCGCGTACATCGTCTCTCTTTTATATACATTAAATATTTATTTCCATTTAATGTAACTTTCATCTAACAGCTTTCTATTATACCGACGTTATTTTGACGTTATACCGACGTTATACCGACAGTATCGATACATTTGTTCACGACGACGATCGGCCGTCATATTTCGAAGCTTTTGCTCACGCTTTCGCGCACCCGGTCTATGCGCGCTCTCATTGGTCAGTGTTTTTTGCTAATAACTCGAAAATGGAGCCTCAACCAATATTTTGGCAAAGGAAAAAGTTGTTCAGAATCGCCCCACCTACCACCCCTTTTCGGGTCCTACACTAATTGCGGGACACCCTGTATATGATAGTGATAACTTACGGTATTTTTACTATGATCTTTTTCTCTCCCAACACAGACTTGCAAACAATCCTCAAAATATGAAGCAATATCCTCACGAATCGTTGCGTACTCATACGAAAAACGCAAAGTAATAAAAAATTTATTACCACGCTTCTTACAACACTTAACAGATTTAGTATTATCAACTATATTCGAACGACTACTAGCTACAGGTCGACTCAAAATCGACTGAACGACTCTACCGCCCGACCCAGACTGCGCCGAACAATCGCGTACGCGGGCCTTAGTAACTCTAAAGCAGTGCTCGGATTTAGATGCCCTTTTCGAGCCGATTTCGGAGTCGACGCCTACCGTGCTCCTACTACCGCGCTCGACTGCCCACGTGACGCCGTGCGCCAGGGACGTCGCACGATAGATTTGTCGGGCCATGGGGCCCGTGATTAGAAATTTTCCTTACACTGTTAATAATTATTATTTTTACAGATTATTAAAATTGTTAATACTATGTT